AATGATTTATCCGATTTCTTTCTTGATCATTTGTTTTGCCTATCCTTGCCATGATCGGAAATAAAATGAACACCTAAGGAAGGAATCTGACTCACAAGTTGTATAATGATGGTGGTAATACTCATTAAAGTTCTTCCATCAAATACTTTGATAAAATCGAATTTGAGGAAAGGGGTTGCAGACTATCCGGCGAAATCCAAGTATCCAGGGGAAGGAAATAGTTGGACGGTGGTGTGATAATGTGTTTTAGAAGTTGAATTTCCCCGGAAGTGCGATCTTATAAACCAAATCAGCCTGACCGCGTGGTCCATAGAGCTGGGAGCCCCGTTGTCATGTTTATCTAATCGGTTTTGGCAAGCGAGGTGGCCTAGTGGTTAGGGAGTTCGTAACATTGAAGGGCGTGTGTTTAAAGACAGCAAAAACAGCTCAGTTTACCCGTTTACCTTTAGTTCTGGGAAGTTTACGACTGATCGCGGTCTTTTTTAATCTACAAAACGAAGATGGACAGTGAGCATAGCCGACTTACACGAACTTGATAAGTTAGAGACATTGTTTCCAGTTATGGAAGACTTCTAGTTAAGGGATCTCCGCTGAAATTCACCCGACTCGTAACCCAAAGAATTTGAATCACAGTCAAAGCACAATTTGAATAGCTTTGTTCCGGTTGTGTTTATTCAGGAAAGAAACCAAAACTTCCACGTTCAAGTGCATAGCCGTTAATTGCAAGTTCAAAAAGTTCTCGCCTCATATCAAAAGCCTCGACACAATAGTTGAATAAAACTATTTTGTTGGTTCACGCAAAACACGTGTTCTCCTTCTGAAGCTTTCTGCATTTACTGGGCAGTGGTACTTGTAATAAACGATTCTGTTAACCCACACCCAGAACGTTCGATTATCAGCCCGTAATTTTATGCATGTCGTTTATCAATTGATATACCATCAGCTTGGTCGTGACCCGCATCACTCCATTCTATTTTATTTGTCTTCATCACAGATGAGAATGCCGCTGTTATCCAATTCCGAGATGCCGCATTCTCGTGGACTGACACCGGTCCGCTGGTATTGTCCAAGTGAGCGATGGTGGAACTTACTGAATCACGTCCCACCCCGAAGCTATTGCAAATTCTTACAGTCGATCTCCAAATTGAAGATCTGCTGGAACCAGTAGTAATAAGTGGGAGAAAAAAACAACCCCGGTGGTGTAATACTTCTTTGAGTTGTGCTGTGCCTTGCAATACTGTATATTATTTCGCAGAAAACAGTGGAGAAACATGTTCTTCGGCTTTGAAGAAATTCATTGCATTTCCAAGGTCAAATTTTATCCTACCGTTTCACTTTTTTGAAATCTTTGCAGTTTATCGTACAGAATCATCAGTTTTTGACTTTTACCCATTCTATGAGAAATCGCTAGAAAAGGTTGCGATAAGTACTCAAGAGCACCAAAATAAGCATGGTGCTGAGCGGCGGAAAGCATTTAGGTAGCGTGATAAATTGACCGCCCTGTCTATTGTCTCAAATAATTCATTCATAGTGAAATTAGACGACATCAAGGGCATAGTACATTAGAAGAAATCCAAAAGCGTGCTAGTGAATCTACTCCAGAAAATTTGGTCACATTGAAACATGGGAGACTACGTCGTCCTGTTTGATGGATATAATGTTTTCTGAAGCCATCGAAGTATGAACTTTCTCAACAGAAGTATCATATTAATTGCCTTCATCAACGTCGTCTTGTCACTGGGATCATATTCCGTCGATTATTTGCCGCGCTTGAACGGTGCACGCGTGAGAACCAAGCTGGTTTTAGGTCTGGTCGAGGTTGTATCGATCACGTCTTCACTCTTCGCCAAGCTCTGGAGCACCGACATTCCTTTCGTTTCAGTCAGTTTCAGTTTTAAAACCATTAACCATGCAAGAAAACAGAAAATGAACTCCCGTCAACCACTAATTATGAATCCGGAAAATCTCGTTAAAAACCTATCAAACAGAGTTTTGACTCCCACAGAATTACGACTACTCCAGAGGGGTCTCAATTTCAACCTCCACAGAAAACCCTTGATGGTACAAGAAGTTATCCCCACCCTAGAAGGATTGTAAAACCTGACTTGAGAAAGGTTACCCACGGTAACCGAAACGTCGGCGAATATAATTCTCTACCGCCATTGCTGTGTTATTAACACTATAACATTAACATTCACCATCTCTTTCTTCCTGGATCTGAAAGCGGCTTTCGACTTAGTCAACCGCTCTAAACTCTGGCGCTGCCTTTCTCTTAAAGGTATGCTCGAGAAGTTGATTTTAATATTATAATCAGTTTATACTAATATCCGAGGTTTAGTGCGGCACGTTTCATCGGAGTTCACCACGGAAAGTGGTGTTCAACAGAGTTGCCTTCTCTCTCCTTTTCTGTTTAACTTTGTTATCGATCTGATTATGGAAACAGCTCTATCCTCGTGCTAGGATGGCTGTATCGATTCACTCCCAGATGGCAGACTGCATGATCTAGCATATGCGGATGACATCGTGCCACTAAATGAAAATCCAGGTAAGTTACATGCCTTTCTAAATAGTTTGAGTGCTAGTGTAATCAGGTTCAATATACGTTTTGCACCTTCAAAGTGTAAAAAGTTACTTCAAGACTGAGTTGGTCATACACCCAGCTTCCCTCCAACCGGGGAAGTAATGGAGTAAGTAGACAAGTTTTGTTATTTGGGCAGCTATATCTCACCCGGTGGGCGCATCATGAATGAGGTGTCAGCTCGCATACGGAAGGCTTGGTTGCCATTTGCCAACCTGAGACATCTGTGGCGCTGTGGCTCCCTGGATGGGGACCTCGCGATGATCGAAATCGATGGTTAGATATAATGAGTGATATGGCTGGGTGTCGTGAACAGTGGCGTTCGTGCATCCTGTCGATTTCTCTGCAAAATTAGTGCAATGGCATCCTAAATTTTCTCTTCGTACTACTTTTTACCTTTCCTGTATTTCTCCTCATGTTCATCCAAATGGGCAGCCAAAACCGGCGCACGATAGTGCATGGTTAATGGTTGTAGAAGCTGAACTGAAACTTTCATCAATATTTCAGTTCATTTCAGTCTATACAACCATCACACATGCACCTAAGACCGGCGGTTTTGGTAGCTGTCTTTTGGTTGCCCATTTGGATAAACATGACGAGAAAGACAGGAAAGTGGAGCGGAACAGAAAATGCAGGATCTCAGTGATCCGAAGTTGCAAAGAAATTGAGAAGATGCACGAACACTACTGCC